ATAAACGCAATAGAATCCTTACCAACTACAAGTTCAGAACCTATTGTGTTTAGCCGCTCTTTATGGCGATTTACCGACAAATGTGGAAAATAATTTAATTTAACTAACTATTAAAGAACATGTTCGGAATGGCCTCCATTATTTATACACAAGCGACACCTAATAAAATTGTCCTTTAGTCTTTGAAATGAATTTGCGTTTTCCATAATTTTTATGTTTGCTTCATCAATTTTCTGGCGCAGTTGGTTGACATTTGTATATTCAGATGTATAGATTATCCTCTTATAATACCCCCATATAAAAAATCTAGAGGGTTTAAGTCGGGTGACCTTGTGTCCACCTCTACCTATCCAACGCCCAGGAATGACACACAACATGCAAAGTGGCATGGGGCACCATCGCATTGAAAATACATGCGACTTCGAACATACAAAGGTATGTACATCCTCTAGCAGCTCATGCAAACTGCGTTGTAGAAAAGCAAGATATGACTGACCATTCAACCGAGGCGGGCAATTCATATGGTCCAATTAATTTTTTGTTGAGTACTTCAGCCCATAAATTAAAGCCGAACTGACGTTGAAAGCTGTGTCGGCGAATATCGTGTAGATCTTCCACGCTCCATGAATGGAAATTGAGCATGTTGAATATTTCGATTATTGTTGGATTTTTCTTTCCATAAGATGCTGCCGAAAAAAGTTTCATCCTCTTCGCACCTTCTCAACATATTTTCACAAAATTCAACCTGTTGTGCATAATCGCTTGGAAGCAATTCTTGTACTTTCTTTTATTCTCCGAGCATAGTAAGCGATATGTTTCTGCTTCGGGCAATGGTTCTGGTGCTTATAGAGAGACCTCTCTCGGCTGCTTCTATCATATCTTCTATTTCTTGTGGGCGTATCCTCGGCGCTCCTAGCTGACGATGAGTGCTTAGTATGCGGCCCTCCATATACACGTAGAAAAACGCGGTAGTAGGGATATACCGCCGGTTCTGGGGCACCTTTTCTAACCACATACTCCCGATACATACGAGCAGCTGCTCGAGCATTTTCTAGGGCAGCACCATAATAGTGATGCATTTCTGTATAATCTCATGGAGAATTTGACATGGTTCTACTCAGATGTCAAACGTTAAACCTTGGCCACACGTACAAGCGTCACCACGGTCTCGCGCAAACCAAAAAGTGCGGCTTGTGTGAAAGTCGCTCTGCTGAAAGTGTTACTTGAGCAAATCTCTTTATGCAGTTAAACTTGTAAGTGTGGACAGCGTGCAGGTAAAATGGCCGACTTACGTACCTGTTCTAAACAATTTATTACAGATTTTATTGACTTATATCGTTCATTATCATGGAAAATAAAATCAAAATTCTATACTGATTGAAGTAAAAAAAATGAAGCATAAGTAAAATTAAAAGAGGTTTATCACCAGGGTATAGATTTCAACCTAAGTACGTTTTGTATACAGGTGTCGGTGTTTGTATCTGACTGTATTTATAGTTTTTTGCAACTTTTATTGAAATAAGGGTTTACCAGACAGTATAAAAATCCACTCAAACCAAACAATTCATCATTTGGCACCATTGTTCAAAAATAATTGACCAGTATCGATCTCTTCGACGATTTTAACTACAATGAGGTTTGTGCAAACTTACTTGCATCGTGTGGCCATCCTGTGGTGTTCCATCTTTATCGCGCAAACTAGACCGTACAAGTAAGTCACTGTCGTGTGGGCCTTTAGATACAAATTCCGTGCTGGACCATTGTCTGACTTAGTAATTTCGGTCGGACCGAACTGAACGCTCCCGCACCTGGAATGCCTAGTTGAATGCCCAAGCTCATTAAGCTGATTTGGCTATTTGCGTAAAAAATCCGCTATTCAGATTTTAAAAAATGTTAATACACACAGTATCACTCACACTGCTAGGACGAATCAAACAGTACCTCATAGTAATTTGGACTGTAGCTCATAGAATAGAATTTTTTGTTTACATGTATAGATACCCACCTGCGTCCAACATTCATATTTTTTCAGGTGACGCACTTATCGTAGCAAGCTAAAATTGTTTAGGGTTTATTCTACATGGATTGAAATAGCTTTTACAATAAAATAAATAATGAAATACAATCTAATTTTTTTTACCGCGCTCCAAAGTTGAGGGATGGAAGAGATTTTTCACAAAAAAATGTATTTAAGAGTTTTTGCGTTGATTTCTAATAAGCTCTGTTAAGAAGTGACATAACCATTGCTAAAAGCTTATCTCAGAAAAAAATCACATCCTTAAACCTAATAGTTCAGTTGTAATTGCGATTGAAAGTTCACTGTCCCGTTTTTTAGAAATTTTACAAAATTGCACATATCTCCTGAACTATAAAATTCCGGACCACACATATAGGGGTTCATTCGATAGGTTTTGTGGCCCTATGACACCTGACTTCCGTTTATTCACTACTAACTTCACACGCTGTATATCTATAATGAAAATACCGATTTTATGAATATTTATAAACATTTGCGGCCTGGATCATTCATAACGCGTCCGATTAGAGCAACACGTTTAATTATTTTGGTTTGGGGAATCGAATCCAAATTGTCGAGTTTTATTTTTAAACTCCGTGGTTTGTTGGTATAGACAGTACTGATGGTTGGAATTATCGAAGGTTTACGTGAGAGTTTATAAAAAAAACTCTGTGGCTTTAACAAGATAAAACTGCCGCTCACTCTTGAAGTAAGTAAGTCAATAGCTCTGTTAAAGGGGTTTTAGAGGACCACATAATTTGCTAATTTATCATCCGCATTCAACCCACTCAACCACGCCTGGGCTCTTCGTTTGTGCATATTTGAAGGAATATGTGCATATGAAGAGTCCAAAAAACAGTGGTTATTCAAAAGACAATACTTGTAATCAGATCATTATGCGTATCAGATAGAGAATGTCAATATTAATTCTGTGAGCAATATTAGGGACCTGGATGTTACACTAGATACGAAATGGAGCTTTAAAAGCCATATAGATGAAACCATAAATAAAACGAATAAGATGCTTGACTTCATTAGAAGAAACTCTAGATAATTCAACAACCCTGCTACACTGTGATCACTATATTATGTGTTTATACATAGTAACTTGTCTTTTGCCTCTATTTGGAACCCACAGTACGAAGTCTACATAAGGAGAATTAAGTCTGTCCATTATACATTCATGCGAATTCTGGCTTAAAATGCGAGTGAAATTGTTCATAATCACGATTATAGCTTGGTTGGAATATTTCATAATCTTACCTCTGATTAAGAGAAGGGTATTATCCTATTTATGTTTTCTCCGCAGAATCTTGAACAATCAAACTGACTGCTTTTAGCTTTAATCGAAAATCAATATGAATATACCGATAAGAGTGAATCCTAGACACTGTAAATACTTCATTATTTCGTTTTGTAGAACTAATATTGGTTTAAACTGTCCACTGGTACGAATGCAAAGAAATCTGAACAACTATGGTAAATTTGCTAACATTTTTGCTTGTGAAATGTTAAGTTCAAATACTTGATAAAAACAGAATGTTGGTCACTGTGGTTCTGTTTTATTTTTCTTCTTTACCGAATTGAATATTATACCATTTTATTTTCATATATGTAGATTATAAATAATAATGCTTATAACTAACTGTATTTGGATGTCTATTTTGAAGATTTTCCCAGATTGATATCCGTAATTTGTTAAATAAATAAATAAATAGGAGTCATAGCGTCCGAAATCTTGCTGAAATTTATGGAAAACTTTATAGAGGAACACGAATAGTTTGAGCAGAATGTGGTTACGTTTATAACTACTACCTACTATTTTAGAACAAATTCATTTTAATTGTCGCTCAAATAGCGTTAAACGATTTGAACGTCACTTGTATGAATATTTTTGAACCCATACGTAATTATGGATTTGCTGAGAACATACATCTAATTTCGAAAACATTTGAGAAATTTTGAAATAATTTTTAACAGCTCAAATTCAGAAAATATTGAAGAAGTTTACAAGTGCGATCTTAATGCTTAGTCTAAGAAATAATTAGCTACAAAAACCATCTTGTGACCTGTATGCCCTCTGCCCTGATGTGATCGTAGACCGCTTCGTCGATATCAGGATCATTGTAAATCGATACTTTGTGTCTTTGTCGTTTTTCGAGAGCCATGCAATAAGGAAAGGGCTCCACAAGGACTAGATTCTTTCCTGGGATGCCGAACATCAATAGTCCATTCAACGTGGTGTGTGCTTGTAGAAAGTGGCCGAATACTATGATGGTATCTGGAACGTTAAAATATTGTTATATTATATTAAGGATACAGTATGTCATGATAGTTTGCATTCGTTTTCGTAATGCTATAATGAGAGATAAGAAAAATGAACATACGTTTTCCTGGAAAAAACATTACTTGCGGATGGCCCTTCAGAGTTAACGTAGTTGAGGACGCTCGTCAACCTATTTGGTTATTTGGTTCCGATATTGGCTGTGAAGGTACTTTTTGACTGTTAATGAAATATACCGATTTCCGTACGACCGGAATATATTTATAGGATGACCTGAATTGATGATCAAAGGTATTTATAACAATAATTTAGGATTTCCAACTAAAATTGAAATAATACCACACCTCACGAGGTTGTCTGTTAGTCTCTCTGCATAGTGGCAAGTACATACCTCCTTTATATCACGTCCTCATGAACTGCGATATGCATCATCTGTGTCACGTATAGCCTGTAATCTCTCATTTTCAAAATAAAAAAGAAACTTGATCCTGATGGACTATTTAGGTTGGGATATCTCAGGACGAAATTATGAGAAGTATCGCAAAATAACCGTCGCGAAGAATGCAAAATTTCATAAAGGAAATCAACATCATTAAATAACGTTGAATGAAAAATAATCTAAGTGAATAAAACAATAATAATTAAAACATGTAGTGATAAGATTACCTTAACCTTATTCTATTTAAAAGAAACTTACAGTCTCGATCGCCATAGTTGGCATGCAGTTGTTTCAACTTCATAACAGCATTGTTGGCTTCGATAGCATTGTTGATGACGAAGACGTTATCTGGCTTCTCCACGAATGGAGTTCTGTTCTGCCTGATTGGTTGAAGAAACTGTTCTCCGTTCATCAGGAACAGCATATCATACGATATGAAACTATTGTTGTTAATCACCAGGATTTGATCTTGAAATTCATAGGTATATGATTAATATAAGATTGTTATCAAAACTCTGGTATTCGTTTAAATTATTTGTCGTTGGATTGACACCACTGCGTTGGAAGTTCAGAATTATACCGCTTGATGCTATTCTACTTCCTACGCGACTGGCGAGGAAGTATTCCATTAATCTCGAAACATTTTGAAAATGGGTTATCATGTTTTTTTGGATGCTATATTCCAGGTACCACATCACGAAAAAACATGTCACTCATTTCCCTCGGTCTGTCTGTCGCTAATCCTTGGCCCGGCTATGACCTGGACAGTAGATTTTGATGAATTTTTTACACGAGATTACTACTATGCCATGGACGAAAGAGCTTTGGCAGCGATGATCCAAACAAAGAAAAAGGTATAAATCGACCAAACTACGTTTTTTAACATTTCAGAAACTTTTTTGCACGGTTTAAGAATCAGGGGTTGTGGGCTGTATGGGTGAGGGAGGGTAGATCTCAGTTTTTTGGCTTTAGTATATTTATACGCTTCTAACCCACGTAATTCAACGTACTTATTAGGCATAAAGTCTGAAACATATGTGCAATTCTTCAATTCATTTGAAAACATTTTAGATAATGATGTGGATGTGATAATTATAGGAGATTTTAACCTACCATTTTACGTAACACAAGGCTGTGAAAATAGCAAGTTGTTGAATAATTTTACGAGTTTATACAATTTGAATCAGATTAATACTGTGCTTAATGTAAAATAAAGGCAACTTGATCTTATACTGTCAAATATGTCTATAGTTAACATAGAAAAATGTGAAGACCCACTTCTAGATGAGGATCCGCACCATCCTGCCCTGAATATGTTTATATTATTTAAAAATAAAACTAGTTATGTTTACAGTCAGCCTGAATATATCTATGATTACTCGAAAGGAGAATTTTATAAGTTATACAATCTGTTAGAAGATGTTGACTGGTCAGATCTTCAGAAATCTGAAGATGTGAATATATGTACTGACTTATTCTATGGAAAGCTTTATGGATGTTTAGACCAAGCGATACCCAAAAAAGCAGTGAATAGAGCCACGTATAATGGTGGCAATTATCCAATTTACTTTTCCGTGGCACTGAAGAAAAACATTAAATTAAAAACTCGGCTTCACCGACAAATTAAGAACGGTAAAGCTAGCTTAGAGGTTAAACAAAAAATTACAGTAGCTTAAGAACCACAATCAAGCACCAAACTGCAAAAGAATGTCAGGCCTATTATGAGACAATTGAACATAATGTCAACAGTGACCCAGCAGCTTTTGGGACTTCGTAAGGTGCAAGCGTGCAAAGCCTGGGATTCCTTCAGATGTTATGTATGAGGGTTGTGCCATTAGTGGCCCCAGGAGATCCGATACATTTGCATTGTATTTTGGATCAGTATTTTAACAGTCTGAAAAGCCAAATGCATAGCTTCATCTGGGGTGCCGCAAGGTAGTAACCTTGGTCCTTTGATATTCTGTATTTTTATTAACGACTCACCAAACTGCATAAACAGTTCAGAATACCTCCTGTATGCTGATGACTTTAAAATATTTAAGCCCATAACATCATCTAAGGATTGTCATGAACTACAGAAGGAATTAGAATTGGTATCCAATTGGTTTCACGAAAATAAGATGTCGTTAAATATCGATAAATGCCATCTTTTAACTCTTACACATAAAAAACAATACATAAATTTTACATACACGATTGAAAATGTACAGCTAGGCAGAGAAAGCACATGCAAGGATCTTGGCGTCTACTTCCAAACAAACTTAACATTTATCCAGCATTATGAAAACATTGTGAATAAATCTTATAAACTCCTTGGATTCATAATTAGGCATACAAGACATTTCAAGGATAGAAATACAATAATAACTTTGTACAATACTCTAGAGAGACCTAATTTAGAATATGCATCAACTACGTATTTGGTCACCACAAACAATGCCATATCGAAATGATTGAGAGAGTGCAAAAGAGACTTCTCAGATATTTGTATTCTAAAAAATATATTATATATCCTTTTATCACCCCATATAAGAATATGTTGAATGAATTTAAAATGGTCGAATTAAGCGATAGACGAGTAGACGACGTTTGAGTGATGTTTTATTCCTCTACAATGTCACTAGCAACCTAAAGTATGAGAAATGTGACTTATATTAATATGTATTATTTGTAGTTCCTAAAGTTAAACTAAGAATAAGAAAAAACAAATTGTTCCAGTTTCAAAAGTTAAGTATCTCTCCTATAAATAGGATGATGTACGAATGTAACATTCTTATGCAACGGTGTGATTTAGACATCAGTAGGATAAATCAAGGCTGTGTTTCTAGACAGCACACTGCTTTGATGCCATTGGTATTATATACTATTTTAAATATAATATATATTTTATCTCTGTTTTGCATTTTAAACTGTTGTTTTGCCTTTGTAAGTTATTTTTTAGTAGGGGCTCCTCCATTTAAATATATTTGTATGTGTTTGTAGGAGGGTAAATAAATAAATAATTCACATATAAATTTCCTCGCACATTTGCTTTTAAGACTCAAAATAGAAATATTTCAACTCCGCTTGTGCCAAGTGCAAGAAAAAGCACTACATATAAAGTTTCCCATTTTTCTGAACACGATAAACTTAAAAACTACCCAACGAATTTTAAAACGGTTTTCACCAGTGGTTAGAGGGATTCATGAGGAAGCTTTAGATGTATAATTTATTGAAGTTTTTTTGTAAATGGACTGAAAGATGACGGATTTGTTAGCCAAGATATAAAAATTTGACCATAAAAATTCATTAACTGGCGTATGCTGAAAAGCCAACTAATGTTACATAAAAAAAGTACTACATATGAGCCTATTTGATTTACAAAAAAGTCCGCGTCGCTATGTGCATAATTATTACTTAACTCAAAATAGCCGATTTTCAGTCAAATTGGTCAACCACGTGTAAGTCAACTCTCGACAACACAGAGCGCTTGGGCAAAGAGCGAGCAACTTGTAAGTGGTAGAGTAGTTACAGTGACTGCTTTTTCGTGGTAGATCGGGGTTCGATCCCCATGGGAGGGGATTTCTTTTGTTTCTGGATGTGCTGTTTTGGGCATACAAAATCTATACTTGTGTTCCTTTTTACACATCATCCAGCACCGTCAAGGAGTATACGAGTATATGTTTATAATGGGTGATTTTTTTGCTAGTATCTTTTTGGCAACACTGTTTTTGACAAATGACGCGTGAATCGTGTCTTGTGTCATTGTCAAACTTGTTTAGTTTGGTCTATAATTTAACCGTGAATCGACTTACGAACGAACAACGCTTGCAAATTATTGAATTTTACTATCAAAATTCATGCTTGGTTAAGAGAGTGCATCGAGCACTGCTTCCAACTTATGGGCAATTTGGTCGGCCTACTGAGGGAGCTATTCGGAAGCTTGTGACTAAATTTCGAACCCAGTTTACATTATTGGACATTAAACCACCAACACGCAGACGTAGAGTGAGGACTGAAGAAAATATTGCGGCTGTATCCGCCAGTGTTAGTGATGACCGTGAAATGTCGATTCGCCGCCGTTCGCAGGAATTGGGCCTCTGTTACTCCACTACGTGGAAAATTTTGCGTCAGGATTTGGGTGTAAAAGTTTTTAAGATACAGCTGGTGCAAGAATTAAAGACACACGACCTCCCACAACGTTTCCAATTTGGTGAATGGGCGCTGGCAAAGTTGGAGGAAGATCCACATTTTTATCGAAAAATTGTGTTCAGCGACGAAGCTCATTTCTGGTTGAATGGGTACGTTAACAAGCAAAATTGCCGCACCTGGAGTGAAGACCAGCCAGAAGCATTGCAAGAGCTACCAATGCATCCCAAAAAAATCACTGTTTGGTGTGGATTATGGGCCGGTGGCATCATCGGGCCGTACTTCTTCAAAGACGACAATGGCCGGAACGTAACTGTGAATGGCGAGCGCTACCGTGCGATGATAACAAACTTTTTTTTGCCCAAAATGGAAGAGCTGGACTTGGCTGACATGTGGTTTCAACAAGATGGTGCCACATGCCACACCGCACACCAAACAATGGCCCTATTGAGAGGCGAGTTCGGTAACAGTTTATCTCACGTTTGGGGCCCGTCAATTGGCCTCCTAGATCGTGTGATTTAACGCCGTTGGACTATTTCTTGTGGGGCCATGTTAAGGCTAATGTCTACAGGGATAAACCAGCAACGATTGACGCACTGGAAGCCAATATTGAAGTATTTATTCGTGAGATACCGGCCGATATGTTGGAGACAGTGTGCCAAAATTGGACCTTGCGCATGGGCCATCTAAAGCGGAGCCGCGGCCAACATTTACATGAAATAATCTTTAAACATTAAATTATATCGACCGTTCTATCGTCTTAAATAAAGATTTAATCGTTTTTTCAAATTTTTTGTGTTTTTTTTAAAATCAAATCCTATACCTCTTAAAAAATCACCCGTTATAACAGTGGCGAAGCGTGACTTTTTCTAAACTGTTATCAAAACCAGATGTGAATGATCTTGTTAAAAAACGTTTATTTGAACCTACCAAAGTTTTTGCTTACTTTAGGTATTTTATTTAAACTTTTTTAATTAAAGTAAACATTGCTGAACTGGGCGTCTGGGGCACTTGATATACCTCATCGTCTTCTGCTATGACTAATCCAAGCCTTCCGAAAAAAAACAATTGACGTTTCTAGATGTTCGGAAAATTTTGAGCTTTTTTGGCAATTAATGTTAACAACTCTCTGTAATTTCAACTATTGTCAGAGTCATCCCCTTCAAAATGACCCCGAAATGGTAATTCTTGCTTGGCCAAAAAACATACGGCATCTATAAGAGGGCTGCTTTAAAGCTTGGTTAAGACAACTTTCGATTCTTGTTTTGCCAAACTGAATCGAATTGGCTACACATCTCACATGTAACGGAGACATTTCATGTCTCCTCTTTAGAACCCTAAGAATATTTAAATCGTTGACTCCGCTGCTGGTTCACCCATTTTTTTCTGTAGAAAACAGAAGACATGGCCAACAATACAATCTGTTTTTCTTGCAGCCCATAACCAAGAGTTTTCACTATACGAACTTAATTTAAAATATCGAATTACTTTTTTTATTTCTATTTAAAATTATGTAAAATAGGTGTTGGTCTTTATTTTCAATGATCTCCTTTTTTTTCTTCAAAATTATATAAGAAGAATGACTTTTTAAGTAGTTGATCGATCACGCAGTGACATTCATCTGTTTAATTGCACGCACACTACAGCCGGTAACCAAAACGGCTACTTACGGTAACAAAAATGGCTACGAACGAATGAGAAGTGAGTAACCAAAACAAAAAGTGGTAACAAGCCCACATAATAGTCGCAGCGGCCCACGCACTCTGGCGACCGCGATCAGACACGAGCCGGCACCGACGGTCCCCGACGGACTAACAAGTGTATCCATAAACGAAAATGGTAACAACCGACAACCAAGTCGAGGCGAGTCAGCTTCATCGCGTTCACAAAATCTAGACATTATAGGGCGCATTATTTTCTTACGGCTAATTTGGCATTTACTGAAGTACTATTACATATTGCTGTTGGTAAACATATAAATGAAATTATTTCACAGTACTTAGTCATAAAATATTTATTTCAAGATTTTTATCTGTTACCAATGGTAACAATGGTTACATGGACGCTTCGCCACTGTTATATATCTATTCTTTATGTTTTTAAATTTTTACCAGATCAGAAATAAAATATAAAAAAATTATCCAAGTAAAGAAGATTTAGATCGCAACATTGTCTAATGGATGGGGACTAATTGTATGACCCTATTTGACCGATTGAATCCATTTAGTTGGCTTGTTATACATGATCGTTCTTAACTTTTTCCCAACTTGTGCAGTACATGGTCTTTCATAAACTGATGGCAGCATTGCGTATGAGAGTCCTACTGCTTGATGCCATTTTTTGCAGACATTGTGTTACGACTCTGCTCAACCGAATCCATTTACTAATAAAATCCTTGAGACACATACAAAAAAAAATACATAACGTTGAAACAGTTTGACTAATAAACCAAATATTTTTGCAACATAGCCTACTAAGGCTACTTGCGTTAGTGTTAACAACATTCATCAATTAAGCATCTGCAAATGTACCAGGAGCGGAACATAGGGATCAACCATCGTATCTAGCCCCCCCCTCCAGCACAGTATCATTGTTCTGTTTACCTACTTTTCTTGTCTATCTTGGAAACCTTCCCAGATATGACGTTTACATATGTCTTCAAGCTAATCATATCCATATGTCGTGGATCCATGAAGTATTTCTTGATCAGAAATGCGTCCCTGATTCGGCTGCCTACTTTAGAAGCCGCCATACCGCTTGCACAAATCAGTGTTACGTTGTTGAAGGTTACCTATCGAAAAATCATGGAATCACAATGAACATATCTTATTGTCTTAGCCAACAAACGGTAATACAAAGTAACTTCGAGGTATGGAATTTATGAAATGGAGTATATATAGTCTTGAGCACATGAGACAACTATTACATTTTGACTATTGTAATAACGATTTTGTGTTTTTTGGATGTTATATGACATGTACTTCACGAAAAACCATGTCCCTCATTTCAGCCGACCTTTCACTCACGGTAAAGATACTATCATACCTACCATATCATTTGGATCTTGTTTGCACAACAAAGTCTCCAGAAATGATAGTGCTGTATTACTACAACCTACGACCACTATTCTTGTATTTACTGCATGCCTATTGACGCTACAGTTCGGAACTGTTGATAGGTACAATGCAAATGGTTCTTGATCTTCGACGATTAATTTGCTTGGAGCACATTCTGAAAAAAATGACAAGATACTTAATATGTATTTATATGGCTAAAAGCTCAAATCTTAGGCCTTGGGTGGACGTGTGAGAGCTTTTCGAGTGGTGTTACCTGTTAAGCCTGTGGTCAGGTTGAAAATGTTCATTTCCCAAAAATATCTTTTGACTTTCTGCAGATAACTTGATATAAAGGAAATTTCTGCCTATCCTACCCTGTGTGCATATTTGGTTGGGTAGTAGACATTTCTTTCTACACGATTTCATCAGACGTTATTTGGAAGTAATATTGCAGGGTAGGACTTGCTGATAGAAAGAAGCTTGTGTACTGTGAAATCGGGGGTAAATCTACTTAATGTAATTTTCCATTTGACTTCACAAGAATTTCGTAATTATTCCTTGGAATTGGGATATATTGGCATATTTTAAACAATGCCAACTTTTAAAGTCGTTCTCAGGTCAAAAAGTTGTTGTTTTCTCGATTTTAAATAAACATATATCAAACCCTCGCA